GTGTGCACCAACCACCCCCCCCCCCCCCCCCCCCCCGAAAACCCCCCTGCCATACCATGGAGAGAAAATGGGTAGTGGAGAACTATGTTATTATTTGGGAGACAGTCTGCATATGAGAAATATGTAATCGCTGGCTGCTGACTCTGGCAAGCTCCCTTAAGCGACTCATGGCTTAAACAGCACTTCAGAACAGCAACTTAGATTTTCAGGGGACTTGGCCCAGTGCGGAAAGGGACCTTTATGTCCCAGAACTCACATCAAATACGCATGGAGGCATGGAAGTAGCTGGTGCTGCAGAGCTGGGAGGCAAAGGGCGTGCCTAGAAGCAGCCCCAGCTGTGAAGGAAGCTGTAACCCTGCGAGGAGGAGCCGGCCCGGGCCGCAGCGTGCAGGGCGGGTGGAGGCAGCCCGGCTGGGTAAGGACTGCCCGACTCCGGGGCTCCCAATGCTAGCAGTTACCTAGAAGAAAAGACTCGGGAACCGGAACATCACTTTTTTCCCCACCCCCTCTCCCTCATCATAAACAGTTCCCTCTGGACCTTCCCAGTTCCTGCGACGTACCATGTTCAGACTTTTGCTATTTGCTTGCCAGATTCCAAAAAGAGCAGTTACAATTCCCGCTCTGTAGGTTGGTGCATTTGCTTGCTCAGCAGCAAGTTCAGAGCGTGAGTCTCGGCCTTCCTCTCCTTTAGAAATGCCTTCCCTGCTTAACTTTGGCTTGTGCTCAGGAGAACTTTAAACTAATGGGTATGAACTTTACCTGTTCAGTATTCCTGGCCACTGTCCATTTGGTGGGCTTTTAAAAGCAAATGTGTGGTCACAGAACAAGTGTTCCTTCTTTTTTTTTTTTTTTTAGAACGCATAACTGTGTGTCATCTTATGGAAGAGGGAAAAAGCACACTTTGGGGGAAGATACCTGCTGTAGGATACGTATGTCAAAGGAGAAATGTTAATTATGTCCTTAACCTTATCATACAGAAGGGGGTTCCACATGAGCTGGCTCCTACCCCTGCTAGCTGACCTCACCGTGAGGTTTACAGTCAAGAGTGAGGGCACTGCTTAATGCCAAAACCAGCTGTATGACAGCAGGCAGGAGACCTACCCAAAGAAGAGGAGGCGGCGAGGAGGCGGTATGGCACAGTGACAGACTTGGAAAGGCAACACCGTGTCAGAAAATGAACAATTCACATGGAGAAAGGTAGGGGACACATCAGAACAAAACTGGTCAGAAGTCAGGGCCCCATCCCATCCAAACTCAGAGAAAAAGTGTCCAAAGTTCGCAATAGCATGAATTATGTCTTGCTGCTGGTTTGTACTACAGCTCAGAGGAGGTATTAATTTCTTGTTAAATGCAGTCATGATGATGAAAATACTCATTGCACTGCCTCTTACCTGGCCTGGGTGATCCTGGAAGTGGCTCAGCTCTCCACAGCTGGCTCTTGACAGTTCCTTCATGGGCATCTTCTGAGGTCTCACCCACCTGCGTAGCACACCAGCTCCTCCGGAAAGGAGCACGCACCCTTTTGTCTCGCTCGGGTTGCTTGTGGTCTTGTGGCAGAAGCGTAAAGGGAAGTGGCCGGGAGGTGGCCACGTGTGCCACGCGGCAGCGGTGTGCAGCCACGGGGGCCGGGAGCTCCACCTGGGCCTCCCTGGGAGCACCAGGCCCTCCATGGGGCCAGGGGTGCCGGGGGCTCTTGGCAGCCGTGGCCTCAGGCCTGACCGGTGTGGAAGGTGCAGGCAGCCATGTTTTAGTTGCACTGCGAGCCACTGTCCCCCTTTTAGTGATAGCTTTAGCATCTCTAACCTGACGTGATGCAGCACGGGCAGTGGGTAATTTTGATGCTTTAATTGTGCAACTGAGAGGTTAGCGTGCTTTGTAGAGGGAATTTAATCTCCAGCTACAATCTGGAGAACTGTCAGAGCAAAACACGACATGAATTCACTATGTAATGTACAGTTTAAAAAAGAAAAACTCCACAGCCATGCAAACATTACAGAATCTTCTGTGGAGCCTATTTTCACAGAGAGTAGAGAAACAATTGCAGAGGGTTGCTTTCCCACCTGCTTTAAATCTTCCAATAGTTTTGTTGCAGCTCTGCTGGTCACCTCTGTGAAATTCCAGGGGGGTTTTCCCCATCCAGGAATAGCCACTCTGTGAGGGGACAGAAGAAACAATTCGCTTAAGTTTTTCAGAAGAAGTTTTCACTGGTCATGGTTATGTACACAATGTTAACATTTAGCTATGGTGATTCAGCTTCCGCAAGTTCTCAGGTCAAAGCCACTAATAACAAGGGTAACAAATGCTGGTGACTGGAGTTATTTGCTTTACATTTGTTTTGATTGCAAGAGCAGCAGTTGGGGTTTGTTAGAAAGTTAAGAGCACGAAATTAGTGTTGTGCTCTGCCTCCGCAGAGATGTAAGGCTGGAACAGCCCTAAAGGTGGCTGCAGGTTCTTGCATAGAGGGCAGAATTTAAAAAAAAAAAACCAAACCAAAAAAACCACAAAACCTCCCAAACCCACAATGAATTGCTCACACTTTAAAGGGAGAGCTGCTGCCACATGGATGAAGTCATCGGCTATTCTTGCTTGTGTCAGCACCTCCCCATTCTGTATTACTGATTAGATAGGAAAAGTATGTAGCCTTTAGAGAAAGGAGGAACTGTTTGGTTTTTCTTCTAAAAACATCACCTGTTGGATGTCTAATGTTTCTGATCTGGCCCAGGGATAATTACAGCAGGGACAAAAGCCCCACATTCCAGCGCTAATTATTTCCCCCTTCTTACTTGGGTTGCACACGTCTGTTTTGCAAACCTGTTAAAGCTTAGCAGAAGTAGTTAGCCAAGACAGCGCAATTCATCTGCCGGTGTGGTCTTTTCCCTTTGTTTGCTGGAGGAAAAAAAAATAACGGGGTGGTGGTGGTGGGTGAGAAGAACCTCTTTCTTTCCTTGGTACCATCTTTCTGCGCTCCACCTATTCCGCTACGGAGTCCTTTGAAGAGAGTCTCGCTGGGCTGAAGTCCTCTGTGCCTCCCCCTGCCCCTTGTCCCCCCCAAAGAAGAAAATGAAGAAAATTGACAGCCCTGTTGCCCTCATTTGTGTCTACATTATGTAACCCTCTTTTAATGATCGGTCTTTACCTCAAAAAACAACAGGCCTGGCCTAAGGGCATCGCTACGTTATGGGTATAGCGCGACTGCGCTCTGCGAGTGCTTACCCGGGCCTGCACCCCAAGTCTTCCGAAGGAAAGAGCATGGCTTTGTTATATCAGCTGGTACAAAATACACGTTCGCGCCAAATTTACAGAAAATACACACCTAGCTACGCACTCTAGTTGCTGCCTAGAAAGAAGAGTTAATGCAAAAGTCTGTTTCAAAATAAAAATCCACATTTACATAAACTGCTGATACCATGGCCGCGAATTCTCCAACGGGTATCAGCTCACCTGTTTTTAGCTGTATGAAAAGCAGCACACCAGACTGAGTGCTTTCTTCCTGGTGAGCCCGTGGCCACCGGCGCTGCGTTACGTTAAGGGAATCACCTCGTAGCTCATCCTCGGCCCCCCCTGTATAAAACGAGAGCACTGTCGCTCCTGGCTTCCATAGAATCAGAATCATAGAATCCCTTAGGTTGGAAAAGACCTTTAAGATCATCAAGTCCAACTGTTAACCTAACCCTGCCATCCCACCACTAAACCATGGCCCTAAGCACCTCGTCTGCCCGGCTTTTAAATACCTCCAGGGATGGGGACTCGACCACCTCCCCTGGCAGCGCATTCCAGTGCCTGACAACCCTTGCGGTGAAGAAATTTTTCCTCATGTCCAACCTAAACCTGCCCCAGCACAACTTGAGGCCATTTCCTCTTGTCCTATTGCCCATTACCTGGCAGAAGAGTCCAAATATATGTCTAGGAATAGGCAAGGCTAAACAGGGACAGATATGCTGTATGCCAGTTTATCTCCTGAAAACCACACATTAAGTTTGGCAACACAGCAGTGTTGAGCGCTATAGAAATGCCTTTACTCATATCTCAATCATCAAATTTATAGAGAAGCCTTACAGAATGCTTTAATGTGTCCCCATAGCCATGATGCTTTTAAGTAGCAATAATTTACAACTGTCATACTGTTCTAGTGTTAACTGCTTTCCTTGTACCATGCAGTTGATGAGACTCTGTAACTCATAACGCGTCTCTTTCTCCTTTACTGGCCAATAGACTAACTCACAAAACCAGTTTATTAGTCAGTAAACACAGATTGTTCAACAGTTTATTGAACCCTGTACACATTTTTTAAAATCTCCTATTGATACTGCACACAAATGGATGCGCTGTTTCTGAAAAATAATGACTTGCTTAATCATCCATATTTACTTTCAGCATTGTATCTGTATCACTCAGCTGACTGATAGTTGCAGTTTGGTGTCATTGTTCCTGGGAAGCAAATGTTGAAGAGATGCTGTAAACCTGATTTAATATATTGCAGCAAATAAAAGGACACTTAGGATTAATAAAACAGAGCTTTATTTAGTCTGTTGAAACAAGCAAATCATTCAAATAACCCCTCAAGGTTTCATAATCTCATCATAACATTTCCATTTTTATATGCTAAATGTTGGAGATTCCTTTTCCCAAGTCTAATGCTGTATTTTTAATAATACACTTTTCTTCATTTAAGACTCCTAAAATTGAGTTTCACTGTAAAAATGAATCATTTTCCAGAGCTTCTGGTTGATTTCTTTCAATTCAGCATTGGAACTTCAGCTGAGAGAAAGCTATTTGACAACTGAGGACATAATGTTCCAGCAAAACAGAGGAAGCGGGGCGGGGGGGGGGGGGGGGGGCCAGCAACATCAGATGGGGAAACTGAGGCACGGCGGGATTCGCACACGGGGGAGAACCAGGAGCCCCCGCTGCCGCCTCAGGGGCCCAGCCCCAAATTCCCCTCCTGGGGGGGGGGGCAGGGGG